GTTGTTGTTAAACTCTTTTTATCATAAAAGATTTTTATGTAAACATTCCCATACATGTATACTTACATGTTTATAAATTATATATGTATATTCTATATAAATAATTACATGCATTTTAAAGTTTACACAAAAAATAGAAATAAAAAATAAGGTAGACAAAATAATATTTGGTTCTAGAGTCAGTAGCTCTTTTTCAGCAACCCAAAACTACACATGGACATCACCAGATGATCAATGCTGAAATCAGATTGATTATATACTTTACAGACAACAGCAGAGAAGTTCTTCTATACAGGCAGTTAAAACAAGACTTGAAACTGTTTGTGGCTTAGATCATGAGATTATTGCAGAATTGAAGCAGAGAAAACCATCACACCATATAGGTATAACATAAATAACATCCCTTATGAATATGAAGTAGAAGTGATGAATACATGTAATGGATTAGATCTGGTAGATAGAGTGCCTTTGGACAGAAGTTTGCAATGTCGTATAGGAGGCAGCAACAAAAAATATCTCAAAGGAAAAGCAGGGCAAGAAAGTAAAATAGCTGTCTGATGAGATTTTACAAAGAATTGAAAAAAGAAGACAAGCAAAAGGCAAAGATGAAAGGGAAAGCTACACCCAAATGAATGTAGAATTTCAAAGTATAGCAAGGAGAGATAAGAAGGTTTTCTTAAATAAGCCCTGCAAAGAAACAGAAGAAAACAATAGAATGAGAAAGACAAGAGATCTCTTAAAAATTAGAGATATCAAGGGAATATTTCATGCAAAAATCATCATGATAAAAGACAAAAATGGTAAGGACTTAACAGAACAGATAAATTGAGGAGAGAATACACAAAAGAACTATACAAGAAAGATTTTAACCTCATCAATAATCATGATGGTGTGGTTACTGATCTAGAACTAGACATTCTAAAGAATGAACATAAGTGGGCCACTGCTAACAATAAAACTAGGGGAGGTGAGGGAATTCCAGTTGAGCTATGTAAAAGTCTAAAATATGATGCTAGAAATGTACTACACTCAATATGCCAGCAAATTTGGAAAACTCAGCAGGGGCCACTGGATTAGAAAAGATCAATTTATGTCCCAATCCTTAAGAAGGGTAATTCTAAAGAATGTTCAAGTAACAATTGTGCTCATTTTACACACCACCAAGGTTATGCTTAAGATTGTGCAAGCTAGGCTTCCGCAATTTATGAACTAAGAATTATAGAAGAGCAGGCTGGTTTTTAAAGAGGCAGAGGAACTAGAGACCAAATTGCCAATATTTTCTGGATTATGGAAAAAGCAAAGAAGTTCCAGAAAAACATTTACTTCTTCACTGACTACTCTAAAGTGTTTATGCGGATCACAACAAAATTGTGGCAAGTCCTCAAAGAGATGGGACTACTAAATCATCTTACTTGTCTCCTGAGAAACCTGTACACAGGTCAAAAGGCAACAGTTAGAAGTGAACATGGAACAGCTGATTGGTTTAAGATCGAGAAAGGAGTACAGCAAGGCTATATACTGTCACCTGATTTATTTGACTTATGTGTGGAGTACATCATGCAAAATGCCTGGTTAGACAAATCAGAAGCTAGAATTAAGGATTCTAGGAAAAATATCAACAATCTCAGAAATGCAGATAATAACACTTGGAGGATAGAGAGTGAAGAAGAATTAAGAAGCCTCTTGATGAGGGTGAAAGAGGAGAGTATAAAAGCTGGTTTGAAGCTTAAAATTGAAAAAACAAACAAACAAACTAAGATCATGGCAACTGGTTCCATCACTTGCTGGTGAATAGAGGAAGAAAAAATGGAACCAGTGTCAGATTTTATATTCTTGGGCTCAAAGATCATTGCAGATGGTTACTATAGTCATGAAATTGGAGGACACTTGTTCTTTGGAAGTGTCATAAGTAAAATTTAACCAAAAGGCAAACATATGTTTCTCTGAGCAAGATATTTTATTCTCAGGGCTGGTAGCCTGAGAATAAGATGCGTCAATGTTTGCCTCAGTTTCTAGCCAAAGATCATGAATTGAAGATGCAACTCATTTTTATAAGCATAGAACAAAGAACAGTACAGAGTAAGTGACATCATGGGCTTGAGGACAACATGATTGGTTACATAGCTGAGTGACGGGAACAACATGATTGGTTTGAAGTTTGGTAATGAGGGGCTAGCAATAGCTCCTTCTTTCCCTACTGTGACTAAGAAGTGTTCATTGCTTAAGTCCAGCTGTGAGGTCTAGAGATAATGGACCAGACATTTTTCACAGTAAACCGGACAGCTTTGAAGGTGGTGTAATAATATTAGACTTGACCCCCTTCCTGGCAAGCCACATCTCCCAAAGTTAGGTAAATTCTTTAAGGCAAGAATAGAATAGTGATTAGCAAGAGAACTGGATTTCTAAGCTTAACCTTTTATAGGCCTGCTGAGTTCTGAATTCAGACACAAAGCATTCTGACTTAGGAAGTTACAGGAAAAATCAATTAATGGTAAGTAGAATGAACAAAAAAAAAGTGATATAGAATCAATTTACGCTTCTCAGAAGGGAAACTATGACAAACCTGGACAACATACTAAAAAGAAAAGACATCACCTTGCTAACAAGGGTCCATATAGTCAAAGCTCCAGTAACATGTGGTTGTGTGAGTTGGGCTATAAAGAAATCTGAGTGCTGCAGAAATGACACTTTTAAATTTTGGTGTTGGAGAATACTTTTGAAAATCCCTTGGACAGCAAGGAGATCAAACCAGTCAATACTTAAAGAAACTAATTCAGACTACACATTGGAAGGCCAAATACTGAAGCTGAAGCTTAAATATTTTCAACATATAATGAGGAGACAGAACTCATTGGAAAAGACATTGATGTTAAGAAAGATTGAAGACAAAGGAGAGGGAGATGGTAGAGAATGAGATGGATAGATAATGTCATGGAAGCAGCAAACATGAGTGAGGACAGACTTGAAGGAGATAGTGGAAGATAGGCCAGGTATAGGTCTATGGAGTCAGAGTGAGTCGGACATGACTGAATGAATGAACAACAAGAATCAATAGAGAGTCATTGGTGCTGACTGAGTAGGGAAGTTATAGTCATACTTACATTTCAGGACAATTAATTTTGTAGGAGTGTGGACATTGGACTGGAGTGGGGAGAGAATGGGGCAAAGAGACCAAGGCTATTGTAATTGTCCAGAAAGATGGGATGAGGGCCAGAACTAGGGTGGCTATTGTGTGAATAGCGAGAAAGGTAATGATTCCAGAGGTATTGTGAATGTAGAAATGACGAGATTTGAAGTAAGAAAATCTGGAAGAGAAGTAGGGAGAATGAACAAGTTCCATTTTGAACATTCTGTTCAGAATGACAGTTTGTGCTGTTGGGACTATTCATAGAGATGATAATTTAACCTATGGGAGTTGTTGAAATACCCAAGTGACAAAGTGAACAGAGAGAAGAGAACATCCAGGACAGAGCCTTTGGGGATACCCATAGTTAGAAGGGTGATGTCCCAGCAAAGAATACCAAGGTGGAGTTTTAACACAGGTAGGAGGAGATAGAGTAACAACAATACAGAAAAGAAGCAGCATCTGGGAGGAGAGGGTGGTTAGCAGTGTTAAATTTTGAAGAGAGCCCAAGAAGGATTAATGGGGATAAAAAGGCATCAGATTTGACAATTAAGACAAAAGTGGTAACTTTGAAAGGAGGAATTTCAATTTGGTAGGGAACAAAAGATATGCAGGAGGTTGAGAACCTGGGAGAATGGAAAAATGGTGGTACTCTCTACAGAAATAGTAAAGTTTGGAACAGAAATAGATCTGAGGGAAAAAATAATTTAATTTTAACCCAGGATGCCCGGGAATGCCTCTGTATCTTGTACTACTTAGTATTTCCAAATTAAAAATGGAGAAAGAGAGAGAGAGAATGAATTATCTATATTGTTAGTGATAAGGGCTTATTCATTAACCATTGCCCAAAAGGCAGAATCAGGTGCTGTGAATGAAGGAAGATAGGGCGTAGGAATGATTGGGCTTAGGACTGGTAAATAGCCCGCCATGGAAACCTAGGTAGGGATGGGTTATATGCTGCTTGTCCTGAGGGTCCCATCCTAGTTAGCCACTGAAGGCCAGGTCAGTTGTGGAACAACATGGGGTAATTATATTACAGATAAGCTCATGATTCGATGGGGAGTGAGAGGGGGAAAGCATAATTCAGTCCATCTTTTTCCTTTCTGATTGGCTAATCACCCACCCCTTGGAGTTCAGCTGGAGTTCCCCTGTGGTTATTCCATGGCTTCCCCTTTGGAGCTCACTGAAATAGAGTACAAGGTAGGGTACAATTAAGAGCAAAGATTGAATAGCTCACTTTTCCTTTCCTTCTCCAACCACCAGGAGGTGTTTACTATCTTCAGTTTCAACTAACTCTATCTTCCCATGGAAAGGCTCCTGTTTTAAAAAAAAGTGTCCCTTTTGCGTGGCATCCCAAATTTTAAGATTCTGAGAGACATATATGGATGCAATGTCCTTAATGAACTACTTCTAAGCTAAGTTCAAATGTTCAAATCCTACACAAGGCTTTGCCTGATTTCCCCCAAATGTTAGGCTTATGGTGTCCCCTCTCTCTCCCCCTCCAATTTCTTTGTATTTACTTTGTGTAAGTTTGGTATAAACTTATCTGTAGACATAGTAGATTGTAAGTTTCTTAAGAGTAGCAGCTGATTTTTTTCTCCCCTTTGTATATCAGTACCTAGCAGAGTCTGCCACGTAGTTTCTCTCTAATAAGGGCTTATTGACTGAATGAGTTAACTAACATTTTACTCTAGCCACTTGGCCAATTCAATGCTACTCATATCAGATTAACACTACTAATATTTCACTTCAGTACTCACTGAATTTTCTAACTGTCTGTATTAAACTTCATTTACACACTTACCTCAGTTTATGTGACTTTAGAAAATTGCTTACTCTAATTTTTTTCTTTTTTCTTTCTATTTTTTTTTGACAGAATTAAAGTCTTCTAAACTAATTGATTATGAGCAACTAGAAAAGTTGTGTGAAATCAAAGGCCTTAAAGCTGGGTAAGACTAAAATGCTGACTTTTAAATTTATATAGCTTCAGTAAATAGGAGGGGTATGTGATTTGGGGAGATCACATAAGGAATAAAACAATTGTTGATTCTTAACCCATTTCTCTAGAATAAATGCTATGTGTTAATGAAACAATTTAGTAGGAAACAAACATAAGTTATCATGGGCCTAGTACTTCTAATGTTTAGTGTATATGGAGGCATTATGGCATAGTGAAAATCAGTCTGGCCTTGAGATCAAGAAGACCTGAGTTTAAGTCCTGACTTTGACTCATAATAACTGTGTGACCATGGCAAAGTCACTTCATTTCTCAATGCTTCAGTCTACTCTTTTGAACTATAATTTGGAGATAGCTGTTGCTCTGCATCCACAGGGAGTGGATTAATGAATCAATGACATCACAAGCCTGGGCCCAAAACATACATTTGTACTGTAGAAGGCATTAGAATATGGTTAAAAGAGCGCATTGAAGCAAATAAAAGAGTGTCCTTCTTTGAATTAGAATGCCCAGCTTCTCAACAGAGCAGGCTACATTTGTAATTTCAGAGATTTAGACTTTGAAGAGACCTTATAGGAGAATATGTTAAAAGCCTTTTAAAAAGTATGCTAGTGTTTTGATTGTTTGTTTTCCTTTCAAGCTGAAAGCAGCATGAGATTTTATTGTATTTCTTAGGATGCCTAAGAAGCTTGAAAAATATTTGCTTAGAAATGTTAGTCAAGGGAAAGAGAGAATTAAGCCGTAACTAGAGAATTGGGCTAATACAGCTAACTGGCCTCCTTAGATCCTCAAATCTCAATAAATAGGATCATTTTAATGATTGCTTTTGGTAAAGAAAGACCTCCTATCTCTGTGATGATTAGAAACAAGTTAGGGAAAATGCATATTTATAGTGTGATTTGTCTTATTATCTGGAGAACTAATAATTTATTTATCATGATTTAAAAATAGGAACTGATTTTGCTTCCTTGATATTCCAGTCTTTTCTTGGACAATATCCTTCAGGTTTTACTTTTTAAGTGTTCTGAATCTTTTCTCTGGTTGTCAAAATATTTTATATCCATGTTATAGACATTTTGCCTGATTTATTATGTAATCAGTAATAATACTTTATATTCATACAACCTTTTAAAGTTAATAAAGTGTTTTGTATTGTTATTATTATTATTTGAGTAGAGGGATATACCCCTTTGTAGGTGGTTCTTCCTTTGCAATTTAAAGTCTTGGTTGTCTAGGGCCACTGAGAAGTTCAAGTGAATTGCCCAGAGTCATGGTATTGGTCAGAAGCAGGACTTGAACCCATGTCTTCCTTAACCTGTGGCCAGTTGTCAATTACACTATGCTGCCACTTTGTTTTACCAGTGTCTTTGGTGTGGGCATGTCCTCCATAGGAATATATCATAATTCATCTCTTTTTTTTCTTTAACTGTGCTTGATTTTTGTTCAAGTTCTCTCATGGATTCTATGCAGAAAATCTGTAAGAGACTTCTAGGTCTTTTTCACATTTCATGGATATGAGTGGAACACCATGGTGGCTCTTCATTTACTACCTCTCACTCTTGCCCCATAACTAGTTTAGTTCTACTTTCCCCCACTATATCCATGGTGCTATTTTTGAGCCATATGCTGTGGCTTACTTGTGTCTACCATTTGTATCTCTCTATTGATTTTTGGGTCACTCACAAATATGATACCTTGGCAATTGTTGCATTACAATATCAGTAATCCTACAAAACTCCTGAGAGAACATTTGTGTTAAAAAATGATGTGTTTGTTCTGGAGCAGTTTAGGAGCCAATCAAAGTACTCCACAATTTCCCAAGTCACTTTCTTCCTGCTATACAATTCTCAGCCCAACTTATTATTTTTCTCCAGTGCATTTCCCAAATAATATGTACTTATGCTTTAATTCAATAGCAAGCCTGTCCAGCTGAATGCCATAGTCTAGACAATAGGCATTTTTCATTCATTTAGTTTTTTCTTTTTGGATTGTTACACCAATCTCTTTTGATTATTCATGGATCTAATCAAGGAGGCCCTGCAATGTTCTGGGGCTTGATGTAATTAACAAAACATCACTGGTAAATAGAAACATCTGGAAGACTTTGCCTTTTTTACGGAATCCCCCTTCTACTTGGACGTAGTATAAGATATTCTCTTCAGCACTGGAAAACACCTTTTTAAAACATACATTTCCCTTTCTTGTACCGTATGTGGCCATTAATAATGAAAGAGTTGTTCATCCTCTATGGTTATGCTGATCAAAAAATCTTGACATATGTATGTCTTGTATATGTATATATATGTCTTTACATATGTAAATCTTGACTCCTTGTTGGAGGAGAGCCTTTCCACATTGTATTTGGCTCTTTGTTGACATTTGATAATGGTAATACCAAGTATAGCAACAATTATTTTTAAGTCTCTATTTTGAGCATAGCATTGTACCAGCTGTTGAGAGAGACAAAATTTGGCTATGATGGAACTTAAATCTGTTGTCTCATTGTACCATCTCCCCCCACCATCCATGAAGTAAGTAGTGTGAGTATAATCACTACAGTTTTAAGATGAAGGGACTGAGAATTAGGGAGATTAAAAAGTTACTTTCTTAAGGTCACATAATCAATGGTAGAGCTTACAGTCAAAATCAGGTCTTCTGGGAGGCTAGTAAGTATTCCTTCCACTGCACTATTCTGACATGAAGAAAAACAGTTTGTACATAACAAATTTCCTGTGTTCCCAAGAATCAAAGATATAAGAATTAGATCTTATCTTCATAACTGCATTTTTACTTGTCACTATCAACTAACAAAAATATATTGCCTGGTTGACACAATTAAAAGATGAAAACAGATCTTCAAGATTTTTCTGAAAGATGAAATATAAAATTAAAGAGATAAACATGGGGAACTTCTGAGAAAATAAGTCTATGCAAACATATTCACTCAAGAAAAATTAATATTATGTGTAAATCATCAACAAATTTTCACAAATTAGCACACACAAAAAAATCAGGAAATTGCAAAGTTCTTCTAAGGATCCCAAACTCTACCATGTATAGAATCAGAAAGTGCTATTTGTTTGCAAAAGTTTGGGAAATATTATTCAGAATTATAAAGTAGAAGGGTAATTAAGCATGTTTTGCTTGACTCGAAGAGTAGAATTAAGAGCAAACAATGGTAACCACAGGGATGTATATCTGGGCTATATAAAAGGAAAATACCTTACAATAACCAGAACTATGTAAAATTGGAATGGGTTGACTGGGATGGAATTGGCTTCCTCAGAACTGAAGGTCTTCAAATAGACCACAAATATTTATTTACGAGGATAATAAATTCTGTTCCAGCATCTTATTTTAATTCTGTTGTTATTTTTTCTATTTCAAGTATCTTTCTTACAAATAGTATCTTGTTGAATTATTTTTTCTCATCCATTCTGCCATCCACTTCCATTTTATTGGTAAGTTCATCTCGTTCACATTCATAGTTTATGATTGCTAACTGTGTATTTCCTTCTATCCTCTTTTCTTCCTTTTCTCTCTCTCTTTCTAATTTAATTAAAAAAAAAGAAAACACCAAATTACCAGTATCAAAAATGAAAAGGGTAAATCCACCACCAAGGAAGAGGAAATTAAAACAATAATTACGCACTAGTTTGCCCAACTGCATGCCAATAAATTTGACGATCTTAGTGAAATGGATAAATATTTACAAAAACATAAAATTTCCCAGATTAACAGAAGAGGAAGTAAAATAACTTAAATAACCCCATCTCAGAAAAAGAAATTAAACAAGCCATTGATGAACTTCCTAGGAAAAAATCTCCAGGGCCAGAGGGATTTATAAGCAAATTCTATCAAACATTTAAAGAACAATTAATTCCAATATTATATAGATTATTTGGGAAAAATATGTGAAGAAAGAGTCTTACCAAATTCTTTTTATGATATAAATTTGGTGCTGATACCTAAACCAGGAAGAGTCAGAACAGAGAAAGAAAATTATAGACCAATTTCCCTAATGAATATAGATGCAAAATTTTTAAATATTAGCAAATAGATTACAGCAACTTATCACAAAAATACTATGCTATGACCAGGTAGGATTTATACCAGAAATGCGGGGCTGGTTCAATACTAGGAAAACTATCAGCATAATTGATCATATCAACACCAAAACTAACAGAAACTACATGATCATCTCAATAGATGCAGAAAAAGATTTTGACAAAATAAAACACCTATTCCTATTAAAAACACTAGACAGCATAGGTATAAATGCAGTCTTCCTTAAAATAACAAATAGCATCTACCTAAAACCTTCAACAAGCATCATATGTAATGGGGACAAGCTAGAAGCTTTCCAGTAAGATCAGAGGTGAAACAAGGATGTCCATTATCACCACTGCTGTTCAATATCCTGCTGGAAACATTAGCTTTAGCAATAAGAGAAGAAAAAGAAATTGAAGGTATTAGAATAGGTCAAGAAGAAACAAAACTATCACTCTTTGAAGATGATATGATGATATACTTAGAGAATCCTAGAGAATCAAGTAAAAAAACTGCTTGAAATAATAAACAACTTTAGCAAAGTTGCAGGCTATAAAATAAACCCACATAGATCATTGACATTCCTCTATATTAACAACAAAGCCCAACAGCAAGAGATAGGAAGAGAAATTCCATTTAAAGTTACTGTAGACATTATAAAATATTTAGGAGTCTACCTACTGAAACAAACCCAGGAACTATATAAACACAGTTACAAAATACTTTTCACACAAATAAAGTCAGATCTAAATAACTGGAAAAACATCAGTTGCTCATGGGTAAGCTGAGCTAACATAATAAAAATGACAATTTTCTACCTAAGCTAATTTACTTATTCACTGTCATACCAACCAAACTACCAAAAATTATTTTATAGAGTTAGAAAAAATAATAACCAAATTAATTTGGAATAACAAAATGTCCAGAATATCAAGCGAACTA